CCTAGAAAGTGCAAGGCTTCCCTACATGTGTTTCTTTGTGTGACCCAAATTCATGTGGCTCTATACCCGCTCTACATCAATGTAAGAAAGCTCTGCAGTCAAGAAAGTTTTGCGTGGAGGGTAGTGTTTATAGACTTAATTAAAGATGCATATTCTACACCCATATGAATGAGGAGAGATTTAAATTCTGAAGGCTGCACAGCCTCCGAGCAAATCTACCGGCAAATGAAAACTGAGTCACTTCTTCCTTTTCCTTAGGTAATTAGGAAAGATGTGAGATGGTTAGGCAGCCTTTTAACAGAGGAGCCCTCTCTTCCCATTGCTGCAAATGCAACCATCCCTTGACCCCATTTCAAATGTTTGCAATGTCTTAGTGCCTCTGTCTTCCTGAGGATTTCATTCCTTCGGTTAGAGGCATCAGAGCCTAACGCAGAGAACTGGTTTTCCTGATGGTTTCAGTGATCACAAAGAAAAAGACACAGCAGTGGATGGCTCCTGAGAGAGTGCAGAAGAGTTTTAGAGTGGCTACTGCAAACTCTCCTATCCTTGGAAACCGGTGGAAATATTCAAATAATGAGCGGACGTCAAGTAAGGAGACAACAGACAGATGCTGCTTGCCTCAACGAGGTGTCCAGTGACAGTGAAGCAAGTCGGAAGAACCCAGCAACACTCATCTCTGGGTTTCTTCCCCACAGCTCCAGGACCTGAGCTAGAAGGTGCATCTTGAACATCAGCTCTCAAAGGAGCCCAGAACAGAAGCCAAGAGCTGCAACCAGAGAGAGGAATCAGTGCAGAAAGCCTGTTTTTTTGGGGGGTGGGGGGGGGACGGGTGGTAGGCTCAGACAGTAATTTACAAGTATCTTGATTTTCTTTTTTTTTTTTACATTCAATGTTTCCAAAATTTAAAAATGAGGAGGTTTTTGCATTCTAGTTTCTTTTTTTATTCTTTTTTTGGGGGTGGGGTGGGGGGATGTTAATCCTCACCAGAAGATATTTTTCCATTGATTTTTAGAGAGCGGAAGGGAAGGGGAGAGACAGAGAGACAGAGAAACATCAATGTGAGAGAGACACATTGATTGGTTGCCTGCAACCAAGGTACGTGCCCTTGACCAGAATCGAACCCGAGACTATTCAGTCCGCAGGCTGACGCTCTATCCACTGACCCAAACCAGCTAGCGCCATTCTAGTTTCTTTAAAAAGTTGGAGAACCTGAGCTCACGGAGCCTGCTAAGAACAGGGACTAAGCTAGTTTTCGCTAGAATTGGCAACCTGTGTGGAGGGTCACCCAAGCCTGGGTGCTGAGACGATGGGCTGTGGGAGGAAGGGCTGAAAACCTGTAATGAGAATGTATGAAGGTACTTGTGTCCTCTGACCTAGGTCTGTAGCAAGGATTGGTGAAATGGAGCAAGCTCTTTTGAGAAATGAACACCAGTGTTACCAGATGTGGTGCTATGCATAGAAATTCACATAAGACTCTTGGATGATCTGAGGATGCTGCAGATTACTGAAAAATACAAATTGTAATCATGTAAATAAGTGTTTTTGCTGTTCATTAAATACCTCCTGAATCATGGATGTTAAGTACTTTGTTTGAATTAAAAGGCCGCTGGATTCATGAAGATTTTTATAAGATCTTGAGCCGTGGTTTTTTCCCCCCTCTTTTTTCATTGTTTTAGTGTTGCTTCTTCTGTCTTTGTTTTGCCAACTTGAAATTAGGGGCTTTGAGCTGAAACCAAAATGAAGAATGACTTGCAGAGCTTCTCCACCACAGTTCAGGACTCCAGGGAGGTGCGGTAAAGGCGCAGGGAATTGTGCTATGGTAGATGCCACTCAGAGCTCAGGAATACACAGGGGCAGGGGAGACACTCCTTGAAATGAACCTTACAGTGTAGTTGGGGCTCTGTGAAACAAGACTTCCAGTTCTCTCCATGACACTCAAAACTGCCGTTCTTAAATCTGTTATAACCAGAGAAAGCTCCACGTCAGTCCGCAATGTAGCAAGTGTTCAATAAATGGTGGTATTATTTGCCCAGTACTTGTAATCTCAAGACAAAGCTGTGATTTAGCATTTACATTTTTTGCCACTAAAGGTTCTTTCTAGAATTTTATTTTGGCCAACTCTGATTTGATAAGGTAACTTGCATATTTGGAAATAAAAAAACACACACCTATTGTCATTTTGGGTTAATATTATCATGGGCCTTTAAATTTAAATTTAAATTTAAATATAATGTAGCCCAGCCGGTGTGGCTCAGTTGGTTAAGTATTGACCCATGCACCAAAAGGTCACTGGTTTGATTCCTGGTCAGGGCCCATGCTGGGGTTGCAGGCTTGATCCCCGGTAGGGGGTGTGCAGGAAGCAGTCAATGGATGTTACTTTTTCACTGATGTTTCTATCTCTGTCTCCTTATCCCTCTCTCTCTAAAAATCAATAACATTTTAAAAGTTTATTAAAAGTTTTAAATATAGTGTGGAATGAACTCTGTGTAGTCTTAAACCGTCCCTTGATTACTAAGGTATTCTTAGTGCTCTATAACCATTGTTTCAATGCGTAGGGTGAGAATATGTACATAGACTGAATACAATAAAGTCTGAATGTGTGCTCATCCCTAAATATATTTTCTATTTCTCCTAAAAATAGAGTGCAAAAAATATGGTTAATTTAAGCTTCTAGGGAGTCGTTTTCAGTTAGAATAATACAAGTGTCTAATTATTAACTAACAAGATACTTTGACTTGCTCTTGCTGAAACTTTCAGGGTCAGAATGGTTTCCTGTTGACCTTGTAGGTAGGAGATGTTGGGGAGTTTTGTTTGCTTTTCAGAATTGAAAGATCTGAAGCACACTTTAGACATGAGCTAGTCCCACCCCTTCATATTATAGCTGGAGACACTGAGGGCCATGGTGTTAGAATGCCTCCAAGGTTCCATGCCTGGTCAGAGTAGTCACTGTATCACATACTTTTAAGGATCAGAAGTCTTTTTTTCTTTTTAAGTAGAAAAACAGCCAGAGCTGAAAGGCTGTACCATATTTTATTTTTTAAAAATATATTTTATTGATTTTTTTACAGCGAGGAAGGAAGAGGGATAAAGAGTTAGAAACATCGATGAGAGAGAAACATCCATCAGCTGCCTCCCGCACACCCCCTACTGGGGATGTGTCTGCAACCAAGGTACATGCCCTTGACTGGAATCGAACCTGGGATCCTTCAGTCTGCAGGCTGACACTCTATCCACTGAGCCAAACCGGGTAGGGCTTTACCATATTTTAGATACCCACCGATTGTCATGCCTATTGAGTGGAACCCAGTTCCCTTGCTTTATGGGGAGGATCAGGCTGATGCCCTTATCATGAACGTATCTGATAAAATGAAGGTGTAGTAGAGATCTTAGTGTAGTAGAAATGACATTCGTATTCAGTTTGGAAAAGGTTTTAAGTCACAAACCCCCACTACCCCCAATTCAATAAGTAACATTAGCTCCACTGAATTCTGAAGAAGAAAAGACCTCTAATGAGAAATTTGCAATTCAACAGTAATTTAGGTGGTTTAAACCCTTTCAGGAACAAATAAATAGACCCATGATTTCACCGCCCTGTAGTTGTTCAATAGCCATCCTGACTTCTTGTGGTAACCTCATGGCCATCTCACCAAGAAGCAAGGGAGAAAGCTCTTGATATATGAAGGAATGGACTCATGAAGACAAGGGATTACGTTAAGAAAAAAAGAAAACTCACAGACACTGACAACCAGAGGGAAATGGGAGTGGGGGTAGATGAGGATAAAGGGGGGATACATGGTGATGGAAAGAGACTTGACTTGGGGTGTTAAGCACACAATACCATATACAGGTGGTGTATTATAGAATTGTACACCTAAAACCTATATAATTTTATTAACCAATGTCACCCCAATAAATTCAATTAGAAAAAGAGTCATTTCCTTTCTTGCCTGGACTTTTAATTCTCTAATAGGCTGTGAGCTGAGATCCAGTCATGGCAAGTAATCAGGGTAATGCTAAATGTAAAGCAAAACCTTCTAGAGAAGGCTGTTGGTTGTTTTATAGCCTCCACAACATCCCATGATAAAAGGAGAGGCATGGTGCCAGGCAGTAACGGGGGTGCTTGGATGATTTAATAGCCTTTGAGTGCATTTAATACCTAAGAAAGAGATTTTCTCATTCTTTCTCTAAGTCCACTAAGCTGTGATCTTGAAAGGTTCTATATTATTTGTATTGTTTCTCATTCCTTCCCACCAGCCATAGCTGGATGAGAGAAAGACATTGTTGGGGAAGGTGAAAATATGTACCAAGTGGTGTTATTTCCTTTTGTCCCAACCTTCTTGAGTTCGGGGTTTGGCTTTACTCAGTGTAGTCAGAGTGTAGGAGGATATCCAATACCCTCTCCCACCTGGCAGGCTGGCTGGGAGGAGGAGGAGAACAGAGGGAGAAGGTGGAAGAAGGTGGGTACTTATGTGGGAGGGGTGGGGGTGGGATGGGGAGGGTGGACAATGAGGTGAAGCAGGTGGCTTTGGGAGAAAGAGGCCCTCCCTGGCACAGTGCACTTCTTCCGTTTCCCAAGTGTCCAGTCTGCAAGTCTGATCCCTTTCCTATCATCTGAAGGACAGGAGCGAGAGAGAGAGAGAGAGAGAGAGAGAATGAGGTCTTCTTTGAGCTCCTTTTTCATAAGGGAAGAAGCTGAGGTTCTTTTTTAAAAATATATTTTATTGATTTTTTACAGAGAGGAAGGGAGAGGGACAGAGAGTTAGAAACATCGATGAGAGAGAAACATCGATCAGCTGCCTCCTGCACACCCCCGACTGGGGATGTGCCCACAACCAAGGTACATGCCCCTGACTGGAATCGAACCTGGGACCCTTCAGTCCGCAGGCCGACGCTCTCTCCACTGAGCCAAACCAGTTAGGGCAGAAACTGAGGTTCTTTAAACGGCAGCCAGATGGCTGTGCCTCACAATAAATAACTTAATTTTATTAACGTCCTCTCACCTCATAAATGTGGTTTTACGTCTCTGCCGCTGTGACACAGGTGAGGAAGAGTTGAAGGAATTGTTGAGAAGCATGTGCAGTGTCCAATTTCGGTGCAGCCAATGGGGAGATGAGAGCATCCAGAAGGACAGCATCCACCAGCGTGTCCCTTTTCATGGTCTCTGTTTTCCTTTACGCCAGAGGCCCAAAGAAAAGGACCTTCCTTATAGAGATGCATTTTTCCCCAGCACTGACTAGAAAGTGAATAAGATCAATTAAATTTCATGAACTAAATCGTTAATGCATTACTACATTAATTCATTTCCAATTCTATGCATCTGTCTGCTTTTAGTTGGGTTAAAGCACCAAGTGACCTGAAATACCAAGTATCTCTTGGCAGGGATTAGTTTATCTGGTGGACCCCTTGTGGCAAGTCAGAGAGCTCGGCGAAGAAATGAAAGCAGAGGTGAGAGACTGAGCAGTGCTTGGAGTGCCCTCTGGTGGGAACTGCCTGGATGTGCAGAAAGGGTGTTGGGAAACGGGATTGGGACGAGAACTGTGGGCACCCCAGTAACTGGGGAGAGAGGCTAAAAAGAAAATAAAAAGTAAACTTCAAGGGAGAGAGGTTTGATTAACCATAAGGAAGACAAAAACCTGGCTGTGAGTTTCCCATCACTAGCGTGTTCAGGAAGAGGCTGCAAGATGAGTTGTTGGGGAAGGTCAGATTGAATGTCTACACAGCATTATAAAGAAATTAGGAGAAGAAACAGTCTTGTATCTCTAGCTCTAAATCTACTCTTAGTTTTCTGTGGTATCATTACCTTCAGTCTATAGAGCTCACTGTAACATTTCTTGTAGTGCAAGTGGGTGGCAATGAATCCCTTTAGTTTCCATTATTTGAAAATATCTTTACTTCACCTTCACTCTTGAAAGATATTTTTTGCAAGATAAAAATTCTTCATTAACAGGTTTTTTTTTTGTTTTTTTTTTTTGTCAGTGCTTTAAAGATGTTTCACTGTATGCCTTCCTCCTTGGTTTCTGAAGAGAAACCGTGATCATTCAAATAGTTGTTGAATGTAATATATCATTTTCTCAGCAATTATGATTTTATAATTTTTCTCTTTGTCTTTGGTTTTCAACTGTTTGAGCATAATGTTCCTAGGAATAGTTTTCTTCAAATTTATTTGGTTTAGGCCTTATGGAACGACGGAATTTGTAAATTTAAGTCATTAACCACATATTGGAAGTTTGGGGCCATTATTTCTTCAAATACTTTTTCAGCCCTCTTTTCTTTCCTTCCTCTTTCTTTGACTACATTTACACCTCTAAGACCTTTTGAAAGCGGTTCACATATCTATAAGGTTCTGATAATTTTTTCCTGTTATATACTTTTTATTGATCCATCTTCAAGTTATGGCCTTCAGAGGAAAGCCACAGAAAATGGAAACTCATTGTGTTCCTGGATGCAAATTTCAACTGTCTTCCAAAAGTTCCCTACTTTTGTTTTGTCTGTAGAGTCTCAGGTGGTTGTTTTTGTATTTTTTCTAGCTATTATAACTCTTATTTGTAGCAAAATCAGTTTTTTATATGTTCATTTCCCAACACAGTAAGCAGAAACTAAGGGTATTATTTTACCTTGAAGTCAGCACAGATTTTAATTCATCCCATAACAATTTATACAATCATATTCATATGATGCATTAATGAACATAATGAAGTCTGTAAAAAGAATTTAAAAAAGGTTAAAAACTGTTCATTATATTACACATATTAATGAAGAAAATAACTCGTACATTTACAGCATTTTTCATTGATTTGCTCTTAGTTAATTAGAAAGATCTTGCTGACTGCCAATGCCTTGGTGTTTTTTACCAGTAAAAATAAATTAAACTATATGAGCCTGAGTTGAAAAGATATTCTACAGTGATATGAGATGTTGCTTACAAACAGGTTGTGTGGTTAAATACATTTGGGATCTGTAGGATTAAACAAAGTTGAATAGGGTCCTTTTCTTTAATATGCTAATATATGTTATGAATTTCCAAAATGAAGACAAAATCAGTATTGCTTTATTATTGCTTTTGTCTCAGACTTCAATATGGTTCATCATGCCACCATACCTGATCCTGTATTTAAAACCTTGCTATTTAGTTCATCGTAGATTTTTTTTTACATTAATTTGTCTTTTAAATGCTGCACTAGAATATTATTTATCTTGATCACTTACTGAGGTTTTTGGTGTCCCCTTAAATTTTGCAAGAACCTCAATGCTTCATTTGCCTCACTCCAATCCCCTGAATTGATAGATTTACTAATAAAGCTTTGTAATTCCTAAAGCATGAAATTAAACAAACTCATCAACTTATAAGTATAGGCTTAGCCCTTATCTATATGAACCCCCATCATCGCTCTTTCTCTACTTTCATCTTGTCACATGAATATTCTGCACTCAATACCCCCTCTAAGCTTTGTTCCTCTTCCATCAAAACCAGGACTGGCTCCCCCTCCCCATTTCTTCTTTACAGCGAATCCAAATTCTTCTTCAGCATCCTGCTCAAGTCTCACTCCCTCCTTACACGATCCCCTGAGGTCTGCTTTGTTGTTCATGCAATTCCCAGTGGTCCCATACAACGTGGTCCTGAATTATATGCTCCCTAAGATGGTTTCTTGATAATTTTATGGGTTTATGTCTTGTCCCCTCTGTGGTCCAGAGCCCTGTCTCATACTTCTATATTTTTTCTTTTTTTTATTGATTTCAGAGAAGAAGGGAAAGGGACATAGAAACATCAATGATGAGAGAGAATTATTGACCGGCTGCCTCCTGCATGCCCCCTACTGGGGAGCCAGCCGCAACCCAACCTGGGCATGTGCCCTGGCTGGGAATTGAACTGTGACCTCCTGGTCATAGGACGACACTCAATCACTGAACCACAGCAGCTGGGCTCACTTCTGTATCTTTTTAGCACAAAGTGTTGTGTGAAGTCACACAAGGCTCGGTAACTGCTGTTGATTTGATAGGTTGCGTCACAATTCCCTCAACTCACTTCTGTTCAACTTACTTCTGTTCCTTTGATTCTTTGCTCTGTATTTTCTCTTATTCACAAATCCACAAGGATCCATAATCTCAGCTTCCCTTGGTTTCAGACTAAACCTATACTCATCAACTTTGAACTCAACTCTAAGTTCTAGGTGTCAACACAAGACAACATTTGGAAGGAGTTCCCTCTAAGGTTATGCAAGTTCATGAATGCTCTCCTGCAAACACTCCCCAACTTACCATGCGTCGTTCTAATGCCTGTGGTAATTTGGATCCCAGTATGCCTCCCACAGGTGTAAACAGTAGAACTTTTCCTACTGGGAGACGTAGGTATCTGACCAAGGATATAGCTCATGAAACAGTGGGTAGGGTGGCATGTGTTTTTGCAACACGTATCTCTATTCTAAAAGCTATCCGTTGTTTCATCTCCTTCACTGAGAACCTAAAACCATGCCAGGCCTCCTGCCCTTCATGCTTATCCCTGTGTAACTTGCTGTCTTGTCTGCTTAGAAGGTTGTAACCAAGAAGGAATAATGACTAAACATCTTCGTAGCTTACTGAAGATGTTCTCCAGTAAACAGACATCGGAAGCTTAGCTGGAGAGCAAAGGGCTCTGGAACCAAAAGATCTCACAAAGAGAAGTTGGATGTAATTCTCCTTGGGATTTTTCTGTTAAGGTGGTCTTCCTTACCAGAAACAGCCCATGTTTTGTGCAAAGAAAATCATCATCAGTAGGACAGCTCATTGATTCTCTGAATCTTTCTTTTGACTATCCATTTTACTAATGAGTGCCTTGCCCTGCCGCAGCATGGAATGGAAGAGAATAGTCTAATGCTGGTCTGCTAGCTAATGGAACCTTTCAAATGGGCAAGAAGCCGCCAAAGCTGATGTCTGTCTCCTGGGACGAGAAAGAGAAGAGAGCACTTGAGGAAGGTTGGGCTGTTATTAGATGCTTGTCATACTGTTTTTGTCCTCATGGTGCCCGTATTGTAAAAGTGAACACGGGTCCTGGGAATGAGAATTCCTGTCAGCTGTGTGTTCAACTGAGCTGATCTTTTGCAATCTCCCAGGGTCCCCCGAGATTAGTCACTGTGGCCAGCCCAGGCTCCCCAGGGAGCTACGCAGAGGAAAAACTCCAGGCAAAAAACACCACATTATTGTGGCTCTCCCTTTAAATACTTGATGAGCTGGCTGGCCAGTCAGCTTCAGTTGGGCTACTGTTGACATCAAAAGCAGGTGAAGGGGCCATTTGATCCCTTTTATCTGGGCCACTCCCTGTTCTCAGCTTCCCAGGTGAGGAGAGATAAAGAGAGGTACAATCAAGGAAAAGATCATCAATGACTAAAGGAGGAAGGACTTTTCCTGCTAAGGTCTGGCTCAGAGGTCACCTAAGTGAGTATATATGACTCTCACCATGGTGTCCAAAGCTTCCCAGCTGGTTAGGGGACAGGCTAGGGGGTTTCCAAACAAGAGGAAACACCAGAATGATCTCACAAGCCATCCAAAAACAACTCAGACAATAAGTACTGAAGCCCAAGGGAGAGAGGTGGAAATAGAGGGCAGGCATCCTAGGCTGCTGGACATGTGACTGACCAGTTGCACCTGCTAACAGATCCACACACAGTATAGCTGTTTGTACTGGATCATCCAGGTCTTGTGTGCATCAGTGATGTGCTATATTTTAAATGAACAGTGCTTCATGCTATGAATATATCACAATTTATTGATCTCTTGTCACTTCGTGATGGGCATTTGGGTATTCATTTTTGGCTATTGTGAAGAAAGCGGCTATGGACATTTTTGGAAAATACTTTTTGTGGACATCTGTCAGCATTTCTATTGGGTCTATACATAGCAGTAGAATTTCTAGATAATAAGATTGCCATATGTTTATCTTTATTAGAAACTGCTAAAGAGTTGTCCAAATTGAAGGTACTGTTTTACCCTCATATAACCATGGATGAGAGTTTTAATTGCTCCATATCCTCACAACATTTGTGTTGTTAGTCTTTTTAAGATCATAGTTCAGATGGCTTAGAAGTGGTATCTTACAGTATTTTTGAACAATAAGCTTATGAAGATATAATTTACGCACAGTAAAATATGCATATTTTAATTACAGTTTGATGAGTTTAAAAAATTTATGCATTGATGTAACTACCACCACAACCCATATATAGTATATATACTACAGTATCCTATATAATAAAACCCTAATATGCAAATCAACAGAACGGCAGAATGACTGGTCGCTATGATGTGCACTGACCACCAGGGGGCAGACGCTCAATGCAGGAGCTGTTCTCTGGGGTCAGTGTGCTCCCACAGGGGGAGCGCTGCTCAGCCAGAAGCTGGGCACGGCTGTTGAGTGCAGCTGAGGAGCGGGCCTACGCCAGTAGTCAGACATCCCCTGAGGGATCCCGGACTGCGAGGGGGTGCAGGCCAGGCTGAGGGACCCCTTCCAGTACATGAATGTTGTGCACCGGGCCTCTAGTATAGTACATTTCCATTATGTGGAGATTGTGCCCCTTTCCAGTCAATAATGAACCCACCCTCATTTCAACTTCAGACGACCACTGAGTGTTTTTGTCACTATTGATTAGTTTGTCTTTTTCAAAATTCTTTCAAAATTCCATATGATAAAATCATAAAGTGTGTACTCATTTTTCACTCAGCATGATGTCTTTGGGTTATAGCCATGCTGCTGTGTGTATCAATACTTTTGTCTTACTGAGTAGTGTGCATTGAATGCATGAACCACAATACGTGAATATTGTTATTAATTTGCTTGTTGATGGGCATTTGCATTGTTTCCAGATTTTGGCTCTACATATAAAGCTGCTACTAATATTTGAGTACAAGTCGTTGTATGGACAGAGAAGCAAGGAAATAATAAAGACAGAAAATAATGAATTGTGAAAATAAAAATAATTTAGATAGGCTTAACATATTAAAAAGTAGTCCTTTGGAGAGAAAAAACTAGACAAACCTTAAGTAAGAGTGATTGTGAGATAAAAAAAAATGGCATATACAATATTTTTAATAAGAAAAAGAGACATAATTACACATAAAGCAATATGACAGGTAAAAAAATCTATATGCCAATAAATATGAAAGTCTATTTTTTCTAAAAGTGTAATAAACCAAATTGTATCAAGAAAGAAGGAGTGAATGAATAGTAATAAACTCTAGGAGGTGGGTACAGATGATAAAACAGACTCAGAGTGATTAAAAGGTTACATTGTAACAACCAGAGTCCATACACTAGCAATGACCATTATTAAAATTAGTTGCTAGTTAAAAAATTGCCTCATCCCCAAAGGGGAAGATGTACAGGTAGATTTTACTGAACTTTCTATCTCATGAACATGGTTTACAATGGAAAGCTACACAGCTCATATAATGAGACCAGAGTAACTTTGACATCACAGTCAGCTTATAGGTAAAGTAACAAAAATTTCAAATAAAACATTTTCATAACATATATTTATAAATAACATATCACAATAAGAGGGATTATTCCAGAAATGCAAGGGTAGTTCAACATTCAAAAATTCATTGGTGTAATGCATCACATTATCAGATGAAAGGAAATGTTTTATGATGATTTGAATAGATGCTTAAAATGCATTTGAGAAATGTCAATCCTCAGCCATGATAAAAAAAGAAACTCTTAACTGAGAATAAAAGGAACCCCTCTCTTTACTTGACAAATAGCATTTTTTAAACACCACAGCAAGCATCATATTTAATACTTAAAACTCAGGATTAAGAAAAATGTGCTTACCTTTACGTTTCATAACCAGGAGGTGGGTTCTCACAGGAACTGAACTGGCTGGCACCTTGACCTTGAACTCCCAAGTCTCCAGAAATGTGAGAAATGTCTGTAGTTTAAGCCACCCAGACCCTGGTATTATTGTTACTGTAGCCCAAACTGACTGAGACACCAAGTAAGGGATTTTGCTCTCGTGTAGGAGTTCTCTCGCCTGACCACCTCCTTTTCTCCCTTGGTATTTGTGATTCTCCCCTCTTGGTTTTCCTCCTACTTTTTGGGTTGTTAATTTCCAGTCTCCCCTCCGTCTCCTCCTCCTCATTTTGCCTCCTAAGTATTGGTGTAATCTGGAGGATGTCCTCCCGTCTCTTCATACCTTGTGGTCACCATGTCAGTGACCGACCTGGGCCCTCAACTGCTCCCCAACATCAGAGGTCTCATTGATGTCAGAGTGATTGGCTGAATCAAAGAATGCAAACCAAGGAGCCTCAAAAACATGTTGCTTGTTTAAATGAGTGTTTACAGTGAATGACAAATAACACAAATTCATGTTTTCATCTACTCTTGAAACCTGAACTTCCACATGACAGCACTAGCTGGGAGCCGAGGGGCAGCTACTCCCTGTATTCTATGCACACGCCATCCAATCTGCTGAGCAATTTGCCACGGTCCCCACTACTGCACAGACCTTGTAATAGGCATGTCATAAATTTGTTTGGAAACATGCTGGTACTTAGAAAGTGTTGAAGAAAGTGTTGCTCCTGCTCACCCTTTCAGTAAAGGAAAATGAAGTCAAGTTCCCCATAAGTGAAGACGGGTTCCTTTTAGTATCTGTGGTGGCTGCTCTCTGCCCCTGCTGTTAGTGATAAACATGGCCTATAAACTGCCTGGTAGCTTGTGTTTGTACAGCATTTAGAAAGAGAACTTAAGGACCATGGCGAGGCCCCACCCGAGCTCAATGATCAAGTCACATACGTTTGCTCAGTGATTTCTCCTGGTCATCAGTTCCCATAGGAGCTCTGTGTCAGTTTCTCCACCACAGACTCCATCCGGTGGGGGGTGGAGTCAGGCCCCAGGAAGGGGCACACTCACCTTTCTTGGAGAGTCAGCTCCATGCTGAGCTGCACCTCCAATAAGAGACAGTACCAGGCTGCTCAGACACGGGGTCAAGGTTGGTAGCCTCAACTTCATGCCACAGGAATGCCAAGAGCAGAGCCAAGCCTGAGCAACCGCTTCCTTATAAACCAAACAAAAACCGATGTTTTTGAAAAACAACAAACATATACCTGCCTAATATACTATTGTATGCCAACTGTAATTGAAAAATAAAAAATAATAAAAAAACATAAAAAGAAAACTTCAAACAAAATTATTAAATCAGGGATAAATAGCATTTGGGAACAGATTATAAACAAAGAAAACGGCTACTATGTGATAGATGGTCTGTTTAATCCGCTTCGGTTCCCTGATAACATTTGGCACAGTCGCCTTGCCTGCCAGCAGTTTGCTGCTTGTATTTACAGGTATAGTTTTCTACATATAAAGGTCCAAGAACTTAATTATTTTGTAAGGGTCTTCACTCCCTTACAAAAATTTATGCACGGCTCTCCTTTTCCCCTCAGAAAATGGGGGACACATTTTCAGAGTTGTCTTTTTAAAGGTCAGCCTATAATATATTTTTCACTATACTAACCTGTAGGGCATAAATAAAAACATGGTGTGAGCCAAATGCACTCATATTTCAACAAAATAGTTTCTCTGCAGGCCCTGAGATTTAAGTATCCTATCAAATGAAATCAGCTATACTGAATTCCCCTCCCCGAGCCACCGTGTTCCTGAGATCTTATTACTTTTGGCAACAGAACGCACACACACACACACACACACACACATACATACACACACACACACACACACACTGGTCACTCTTAAAACAGTATTTCAGCCTGGACAGGTAGGGAGGTCTTCCCAATGCAGGCAAAGCCACAGGATGAAGTTAGTCTCAAATGGCATGATTTGCCGCTTTCACCTGAGACTTTAACCTGAGTCTTACTTCTCGTTATTAAAAGTAGGTTTGAGAGCGTCACGACAACTGGGCCACCTGCTTCAATTTCCATTTTACCTTGGCAGGTCTCCCTTGGCCGAGTACAAAGTTGACTCTTGATCCAAGAAGAAAGCAGAATGAACAAAGAAGAAAGGGCAAGTAAGTAGATGTTGGGAGAAGGGAGTGGAAAAGGACACATTTATTGAAATCTGACTATAGCCAGGCATCTTGTACATTTTATCCCATTGAATGTTATAAAACCCTGATCAGTAGATGTTGTGTTCATACCATTGATGAAGGAAAGATAGGAGACTTTGAGAGGCTGACTGGCTAACTCTCGGACCTGTATTCTTTCTATTACTACCTGGAGAGTGAGGAAGAATGAGAAGAAACAAGTTTGAAGGATTATGGCCCACTCACTCCAGGTTTTTGTTGAGAAACTTGTGCAAGGGAGGTTGGGGCTAAGGAGGATGACAGGCTAAGAGTTAGCATTTTAAAGGGCTGGGCATCAAATACAAAGCCCAATCAGGGCTGGCAAACCTCCGGAAGGCATAGGCTTATGTGTTTGAGTGTTTGGAAGGATCTTGTAGTTCCTTGATTTTGCTTGTTGTGAATGATGAGTGGTGGAGTATGTTGTATCCATTAAGGAGCAGGAAGTGGACAGATGCCAGACATGATCAGAGTTAAGTGTTAAAAGAACGACTCTGCCTGCTTAGCAGGGAATCTATAATAATAAAAGGGTAATATGCTAATTAGACTGGACATCTTCTGGATATCCTGATGAAGCCGGGGCTGGAGGGAAGCCAGTCCGGTTCCGGGTGCCTGCGGGAGGCCGGAAGGAAGCAGCCCGGGTCCCGGGTGCCCAAGGGAAGCCGGTGCCGGTAGCCGGGGGAAGAAAGGCCTACTCTTGCACGAATTTTCGTGCATCGGGCCTCTAGTAGACAATAAAGGCTCAAATATAGAATGAAGCAAACCAGCCGGGGGTTATGACAGTGGTCTAGGTGAGATAGGGTGGTGGCGAGAAGCAGAGTGGTAGTGATGGAGAGAGTGACAAGTGGTTGCATTTACATTATATTTTGAAAATAGAGCTAATGTCATGGCTGATGGGTTGGAGATAACGTGTGAGACAAAGAGAGAAGTCAAGGATAATGCCAAGATTTTTTCCTTTTTTTTTGGCCTGAGCAGTCAGTTGATTAACATGGTGATGG